TCAAAAACCTGGTAATGAATTGTTCAAATAAGGCCTTTGAAAATAGTGGAATTAATTACTTTTGGAGTGTCAAAAATTTGTTGGAAGTACTTGATAAACTGCATGTTCATATAGGTGATTTCAAATCTGTTCACATTTTTTATTTTTCTACCCTATATACCACTTTTCTCATAATCTCATTGAGAAAAATTTCACACACCTCATTAAATGGGTATTTAAAAAGTCAGAATGCGATATATATGTTCAAACTCTTTTAGGTAATTTTTTATTAACAACAAACAAAAAAAAAACTATGTCATTTGGACCAGTTTTGATACGATAACTGCACTTGAATTTTTATTAGATAACATTTTTGTTCGCTATGAAGATTCCGTAGATCGTCCAGTTATCGGAATTCCCATGGGGACTAACTGTGCATCACTTATTGCGGACCTGTTTCTATATTGTTACGAGTTACACGTAATGACTAAAATCAGCAAAGACCTATCGAAACAACATCTGATACAAAAAGTAAAGGCAACAGTAGTACACCGCTATTCGAAATTCATAAATCGATTGAGAAAAAAACAAATCCGGGCCACAAACCAAAACCGAGGGAAACACATCAAATATAAGAGGAGAACAACGACACAACAGAAACTCAACACTTAAATGCAACACACACAGAAACGAAATATAATAGCACTTTTAGATATTTGGATGATAAATTGGCTCTCAATAACGATGACTTCAGTATCATACTAAAGAGATTTATCCTACTGAACTGACTTTAAATAAAGCTAATACTAACAATGAACACTGCCCTTTCCTGGATCTTAATATCTTTATCTTTAACGGGAAGCTTATTACCAAAATTTACGATAAAAGAGATGATTTTTCTTTCCTTTTGTTAATCATCCATTTTTAGATGGTAACGTTCCCTTGTAACAACATATTTGATTTTAACGAAAGAAATCTCTGTATTACTGAAAAAGTACTACACCAGGGTTTTTGATATCACAAACTTGTCAAAACATTTAATAAATTTTATCCTCGTTACATAAAAATCGACGTGCAGACATCTTATACGTTCAGGTATTTCAAATCCAATCTTTTATGGTGATATTATATGCAAAGCACATTCACCTCAAAATTAACCAAACCTTTAAATAGACTTATTCAGAAGGGATATAGTTACGATACTGTTGTCAGGTCACTAAAGATGATATTTTTTGGAATTACTATTGATTCACTTATAGGGTCTTTGCATCGGAAATAAACACATTTATTCTAAAACCAGTTGTTGGCATGATACGGGTTATGTTCTTTTTGTATATTTTATGATGGAATGATAATAAACCCTAAACGGGATAGATTGTGCTTGATTTTCATATGATGAAGACATAATCTTTCAATCAGTTTATTTGAGGTCTGGACCTGGCATGTCAGTAACTGCTAGTAGTCCTTTGTTAATGTATGTATCATTGTCATTTTGCTTAGTTTCTTCTCTGTTTCCTAAACTAACATCGGACTCGGACTTCTTTTAAACTGATTTTTACTGTGTGTATTACTGTGTGTTTGTTTATTCTACATTGGCTAGAGGTATATGTTTAACCCCGCCGCATTTTTGCGCCTGTCCAAAGTCAGGAGCCTCTTGCCTTTGTTAGTCTTGTACGTTTTTTTTTTTTTTTTTTTTTTTTTTGGTTCATTTATATGTTTCGGAGTTTAATGTGACGTCCTTTTTTGCTGAACAAGAACACATTTTTGTTTAGGGACCAGCTGAAACCTGCCTCCGGGTTCAAAAAAAGGTTAACTTCGTGCGTTCAACAGGGAGTCACAGGTTAACCATCATATCATTATCACATCTCAGCTTTAGGCCTCATCTAAACATTTAAAGATCCCTACTATGTAATAGTTACCAACACTACATATAATCCCCGTAAAAAATCGTTTTATATCCGCCTCTAGGAAGTGTTCTACAACTAATCTTTCAGTGTTTTTAACTAGTACCTCAACTACTACCAAACAACTTCTCATCGACTCTTATAATAAAGCATATACAAATATTTGTTTAAGTGTACAAAATTACCTGGAAATTAAGATAACTTTAGGGGTATTGGTGTCCCTTTTTATTTGATTGACTTTTCGACACTCTACACTACACTTCCACACAATCTTATCAAACAAAAGTTTTTTTTCTATTCAATCAAATGCTTGTTTGAAACATCTGATGGAAAATATATCTTTATATAAAGCCTTCTTCTGTAATGCTAGATATATTAACTAGAAGTGCAATTATATGGTCAAAGCTGTAAACTTTCTCTTTGACAACATCTCTGTACGTCTCGGCAATAAAGTTTATTGACAGGTTGTAAGAATTCCTATTGGCACCGATTGGGCTCCAGTAATAGAAGACTTATTTCTGTATTGTTATGAATCTCAGTTTATTGCGATACTCAGTAAAGATCCGTCTAAATTCGATTTGAATTATATATTCAACAATCCATTCCCTAACCTTAATGACACTTTGTGAAACGTTTTATTTTAGATGATCAAGAATTCTCTGATTATACTGCCAAATTACTCTTAGAAACTTACTTTTAATAAATCAAATATAAACAGCAATAACTTTTCTAGATTAAGATATCCCAGTTTACACGATTACTAAGAAAAGGGACGATTTTACGTTTCCTATGGTTAATTTTCTTTTTTTGACAATGATTTAGTCCAATCTTACGGTATGTCTGTGTCTCTATTGGCCTTGGATTTCAATAAACGTTGTCCATATATTATTGGTAAATTATAAAGTAAGTATTTAGATACCACAAATTACTGAAAACCTTTACTAAATTCTTTCATAAATATAAATATTTAATTTCGAAGTTTGGATGTTCCTGTAGAAAACCGATTACAAACGGGATAGCAAATCATATTTTTTTACGGTGATGTTGTTTATCGAGCTTGTAAATTTAGATACGATCCGTGCGAACTTATCGATCCTTTAAATATGCTGAAAGGTTACCATTTTAACACTTCTATTTTATTTTTTATTATTTTTTTATCAGTATAAACATCGATTTTGTTACTAATAATTAAAACCCATTTACAATCTTTTCATTTTTCTGGATAATTCTGCCTCATAAGAATAAGAAATAAGTCGGCAAACAGAGGAGCACAGTTGGTACCAGTAGGAATGCCAATTATCTGTTAATAACACATCCTCTAATGGAAACAAATGTTCTCTAAATACAAAATGTAGTCTTTTGATGATGATCGTTTCGTTTGATTTTTTGCTTACATTATTTTTGTTTTCTATGTATAATTTGTTCCTTCCCAGTTGTAATTTCTAATTCTAGAAAAGAAAGTTATATTGTTGTTTATATTAAATTATTTGAAGTCAATTCCTTTTTCTGTAAATTTCTGCAGTATAATTAAAGAAGGCTAGACTATTTAACGCAAAAAATATCATCAAAGTAAGTGTGGTTGAATTTATCAATTAAATGGAATTAAGATTAATCTTTTCTGAGTTTGGTAATAAACTTTGATTCATAACAATACAGGAAAAATTTCTCTATTATAGGGGCACAGTTAAAGCGCATAGCAATACCTACAACCTTTAGATAAACTTCATTGCCGAAAAAAATATCGATGTTTTAAGGATAAAGTGTATAGCTTTACGAATCTCATCACAGTTAAAGTAAATATGCTACCATATTTCCTTTTATTCATTTCAGAATGATAATATTATGAGTTGAAGCAAATACATTTGCAGTCACATTGTCAAAACACATTTCAATTATATAAAGAAACTTTTTTATTTGTTCAGATAATGAATAGTGTACATTTTAGTTTAGAGAGTCGAAAAGTTTTACTTGTCAACCAAATTGAAAGAACAAAAAGCATGCGATTTATCTTAAACATCCAAAGAGGTTTCTTTTTACACTCAAAATTGATTTATTCTATTATTTTCGTATGCTGTATTATCAAAGTTAATAATAAGTTCGTTCTATGTGTTATTTGCAGTACGGACATTAGTTAAAAAAATTGAAAGACTAAAGTTTTTTGTTTAATTCAAGTACCGAATATAAAGTAGTCACCTTCAAATATTCAGGGGATGACTTAAGCTGATACAAGGAAAGGATAGACTATTTACTTCTTATCTCTCTTTGGAGTGAACTGCCTTGAATGTAGAAGAATTTATATAAATCCGGTGTAGTATTTACGTCATGCCATTTGTTTTCTCGCAATATTGTATGAACCCTCTTTCCTGCAAGTTTATCAATGTTAATTTCAGGAACCAGATTTTTATGGTAAATTCTTTATTATGATTGATAGTCTATTGATTCAGATAAACAAATATGCACTAAATATACATTTGATATTGATTTCATAGTATCATATTAATGTATTGTTTTGTTTTGTTTTTTTCAGTAATGACGAGTGCATCTTCATCTGCTGCATCTCAGCCATTGTCAACAAATTTTGCAAGAATAGGCCATGTAGCGCAGCAGATGTTTCCTGATATTCTCCAGGAGCTTATGATGATAAAGGAGCCTCCACATAGATTATCACATGATATTAACAATAACTGGTACCTATCAAACAATCTAAGACCTGATGAATTGATATTGTTAAATAATGTTGCGACAAAAGGATATACGAACTTTGATATCCCATTTATTTATAAACTTGTAAGAAATTTGAATTTGCTACAACCGCCAACAAAAGGATGGAACCATTCGTCTTTAACATGTCCGACCGATATCACACCAGGGGATGACCTTGAAAGAATCCGAAGATTAAGAAACGAAATCCTTCACAGAGGTAATGAACAAGTGAACGTTACAGAATTTCCACAGTTTTTTACACAGTTCAAAGACATTGCAGGCAGACTTGAGACATACCTAGGTAAGCAACAGGAGATTTTGTTGACAAGTTTATTGATTTAATGGAAACATGCTGCATGGATGAGGAAACAAGAAATATGTATATTAAGAGACTTGACGGTTTAAAGAAAAGTGATGAAAAGATTAAATGCCCTTGAAGAAAATGTTGATGCATTGAAAGAGAAAAGTAAGTAAGATCTTTTTCCATGAATACCTGATTAACTGGTTTTGGTATATACTTTCATGCAAGTTTAAACAAATCAGGTATTTTATGGTAACATTTGTCATGTTTGTGTTTCATTTCTTACAACAAAATCATGGAAGTTATGGTACAAAACGAAACAATAAATCCAACGTATATATGAATGTAATTGAATGCATCTAGAGAGGAATTTTCTACAATTGTAAGAAGATATTGCGATAATGGCCATTCATAAACTATGAAAGTGATACCAAATTTATATACAGGTATATACCAAGGTCTTGATAAATACATCAGTCGAAGTCGAAGAGATGGACAAAATTATTCAACTTATCTGAGCTTCGACTCATCCGAGGTCGATAGTGTTGGAAAAAATTTGGATGCAAGAATTCGAAATACGGCAAGTTGGTGTAAACGAGATATTGGAGAGGTTAAGCTAAAGTGCGTGTACGTGAACGCGTACGAGTAGAATAAAAGTATGCTTCGTCTTGAAGATCTTGAACCCATCTTTGGCAGATCCAAGTTAGAACTTTCTTATGTAATCAATGAGGTTCTTGATTATTTATATGTTAACCATTGTCATCTGCTATCCGACGTAGACAGGAACTGGCCAATATGCAGACCACAGGAAAATAAAAGACTTGCATTTAATGGCCAAAATGATCTCATGCCTTGAAATTTAAAAGTATTGTTACAGCAAATGGGCTAATCTCGAACTTATTTAGGCCTATAGAAGGTCGTCGTCACGACGCGGAAATGTTGCGAGAAAGTGATATTTTAACCCAAATACGAGTACACATGACAACTCTACAGGGAAGAATATTTTTGATCCAGCATATTCCGCGATGATGGATAAATAATTACACCATTCAAAGGAATTTGATGATTTTTTACAAACGAATGTCTGCAGTACGCTTCTGGGTGCAGTGGGCATTTGGGAAATTGTTGCCGCTTTTTGCATTTTTGAACTACAAGAAAAACCAAAAATTATTCCTTCAGCCCGTGGGAAAGTATTACAAGGTAGCAGTTCTTTTGACAGACTGTCATACTAGTCTCTTTGGTAGTGAAACAAATGTACACCCACCAACACTAGAGGAATACTTTATTGGTTGACAACTTTCCGGACAACAATTTTGAAATCCAAGTAAAATAATTTCAGATGGTCTATTCTGTTGACATTTGCATTGAAGAACAAAATTCTCTAAGTTTTTGATGTTTACCTGGAATATGTTTTAAAATACTGTTTCTAAAATTTGTTCTTATTTTCGTTGTCTTACTAGATTACAATAACAACTCTCATATCGTTTGATTGATTGGTGTTTAACACCACTTTCACCACTGTTTTTTTGTTGTTTTTTTTTGGTGGAGGAATACGGAGTGCCTGGAGAGAACCATCGACATTCGGTAGGAAAGCTAACATTCCCAGTCAATTAAGAATGGAGTCGAACGCACCTGCCAAGTGCAGAACTCAAAATTGCAACTTCGGCGTTGACAGACTAGTGATACAGCAGTTGAACTACTTAGAAGACTTGGCCACTGAGACCCTTCTCATCTTGTTTTCTTGGTTGGGTAAACTCCAAATTCCACTTTAAACCAGGTTTAACCGTCTATTGTCACTCAAAATGCATGTACCGAGTTTTTTAATATGACAGTCATATCAGGGAGTTAAGTACTTTGAGTTGGCTTCATACAGCTAGCTAGCTTTGAGTAATTGGAACATTCTTTGATATGGTATAATTTACCTTTTTGGTGTTTTGTTCACTATTATATCGTTACCGTAGCTTTAAATACTACTTCTGTTCTGTACTGATTTTTATCGTACGTTCTTTTGTGCACTTTATTGATCTACGGATTAAGATTAAAAATGGGAATATAGTTTAACCCCGCTACATTTTAAATTGCTTGTCCCAAGTCAGGAACTTTGCCAATAGTTGTTGCATGACATATCATAAGGTGTGTCGTTATTCGTTGAATTGCCCAAGGTAATAGTGACAGACCTTTGATTTTTTTGTTCTGTTAAATATATCCACAACTTCTGTAGACTCAAGACAATTTAGAACTTGACCCTTTTCTACTGACGACTCTATGTTGCCCTCTTTAATTTTTTTGGTTATATTTGTTATATGGATTGCTGTCTGTTTCATTGTAATAATCCCAAATCTCCTTTTTTCATATTTTCATTTAGACGCTCAAATTGGAGTAGTTTTTCTTCTATAACCTTATATTAAACATATACTTTCACATGGTCAGTTTTATCAGTGAAGGAAACTATAGACCTTTGGTTTGTAAATGACAAAATATAAATCAGATTTTCCAAGAAAAAATGAAATAATTCTCCTTGGAAGAAAATAGTTAATGCCAACTACACTACATTTCAACTTTAAAATTCTAGTTATCAATAGATTTAATTTGTACTAGAGGTAGATAGTTTTACTCCCACTTAAAATGATATCATACTATTCACAGTATCAATGAGACATATAAATGTATATACGGCCAATAACCAGGGATGACATTTTTTATATACAATAACTTTTACTTATTGTCTAGGGCATATAAATCTGTTTATAGCTCATGTCTAAATTAGGTCACCTAAACACTTATTTTAACAAATCAAACATCCGCTGTTTTTTCGTGTTTTTCATTTTTCTAAATTTTGCTGTCGTTTTTGCTTTTCCAATTTCAATTTTTCTTCATCTTATTTTAGCTGTTGTTTCCTAACACCCAGTTCCTGCTTTCTAAAGTCTAGTTTCGTCTCATTTTTCTCTTTCAAATATCCAACAATATTAATGGAACTACTTCTTTTGGATGGAGTGGCATCATTAGAATCATCATCACCTAAAATATATACTATTTGGATTAATTCAATTCAATCTAAATCTGTTTGATAATTAAAACACTTGATATAAGTCATTCCCAAGGTCTGTTGGACATGCGCAATGTCCATTGATAAATGGTTTGGTCCAGTGAAATGTCATCAATTACTGGACAAAATGACCAGTGAAAATGTAAGAATTTTGTAATACTCCTAATGTAAAAGACTGCTCTAAAACTTACTAGACCAGTAATGCTTGAACAATTACTGGACCAAACACCACTGAGGTCCAAAAAACCTTTGGAACCTCTGTGATATGCAATTTATGTTTATGTCCCTGTTCCAATATTAAGGTTAGTTTCATTCAGTGAAGTTTTTTCATATATTTATCGCCTTTAATAGAAATAAACACATCATGTTATTGTACAGTGCGAATATCCTTTCATATTTCATTATGAGATGCATGGAAACCACTTATTGCTAATATATTTCAAGCTTTGTAATTTTATTTTTCTCAAGATCATTTATTCTCTACACCTTTTTATATTTCTGTTTTTGTAGATGTAGATAAGAATCTGAAATTGAGACAGCTTGTATTAGCCAACTACACTTAAAAATAATGCTGCCTACAGTAAGATAATGAAACCTTTTGAAATATTTATAAACATTTTTGTTATGTACTATATTCTTTGCATTAATTTTATACTTTGCCCTTTCTAAAGTAATACTCATTTTGATCTATCTATTTCCCATGGCTCTTTTTCTGGTGTCTTTGCCACGATTTTCATCCGTTTCCCTTATCTGTTTATATTTTCTTTCTGCTGCTGTTCATTTTCAATAAAAGATATGATTTTCTGCAATAACGTTTCCTTTTCCCCGGACTTTTTATCTATTCCTGATCTGGAATGTTCAAGCAATATAACAAAAAAAAAACTTATTACGAGCATGCAATTGACATGCCAGAATTATTAAATTAGTTAAATGCACAGAATACAGTCTCTGGTCAAAACTATTCTAAAATAACGATTTGTTTTCTTTCTTTTTTATTATGATACCACTTTAAAAAAAACTATTGGAACTTATATTCCTATGAATAAAACTCATTTCATTATTTTTTTTCAATAGATATACAAAATCTTTCCTTAGCATAAAGCAAATTCAGTTCTAAATTTTACATGCAATCTAGTTAGTTCAAGAAATTATGTACGATTTATCATTTTCAAAATGTGATTTCAACCATATATTTTTTAACAACTACACATATATGTATATAACTAGTAGAACTTTCATTGGTTAGACCAAACATTTTGAAGGTTTGCATTCAATGGCGCATGTGAGATTTTTTATCAGATGTTGTTTATATGGATATTTACTTTTTTAATTTGATTTATTTTCAGTAAATTTGAAGTAATCATGTGAAGGTTTGGTACCATTAAAACGTTTAAACCTGCTGCATTTGTTTGCACCTGTCCTAAGTCAGGAATCTGATGTTCAGTAGTTGTCGTTTGTTGATGTGGTTCATAAGTGTTTCTCGTTTCTCGTTTTTTATATATATTAGACCGTTGGTTTTTCCCGTTTGAATGGTTTTACACTAGTAATTTTGGGGGCCCTTTATAGCTTACTGTTCGGTGTGAGCCAAGGCTCCGTGTTGAAGACCGTTATGTGACCTATAATGGTTTACTTTTATAAATTTTGACTTGGATGGAGAGTTGTCTCATTGGCACTCATACCACATCTTCTTATATCTATGATATATTATTAGTACCTTTTTAAAGACAGAGCATTTTGTTTCTTATGTTGCTCAATTAGCTAGCATGGTCTTTCTGTAATACGTCTTGTGTGTAGTTGGAAATCTAATCTAGACAATGTTGAAACTATCTAAGTCCTGGCTGATTTATTTTTAAATGGGAATTTTGCTAAGACCTCTCGGAGTTGACCAAAGGTCATCTTTTGGCTGAAATCTGACCTGTGTCTTTCTGTTACCACTGTTCATTCTACGAAAACACAAAATGATTTGAAGTGCGACAAAAAAAATTTTAATATCCCCATCTAATTGTTGTTAAACACTATAAGTCCCCCTTAAATTTTATTATGCAATCTCATTGATACACTTCTTTGAACTCGGAAAGAATACCGAGTTTATACTCATTTGACAACATAATTTACCGGGCATCTGCCCACTTACACGCATTTTTAGCGATCTTGAAATCATGAATTGAAATTCTTAAAAAACGACAAAACGCTGTCACATGATTTATTGGCTAAAAAAAATGAATAATATTAGCGTCTAATAGAAGTTGTTATGTCATATTTGATTTAAATTCCTATTGGGCAAACCTCCAATATGCCGTCATTTTACATCAAATGCTTTGCACTTTTACCGTTTCATTGTGCTTTTAAACTGTAGTGATAAAAGCTTTAAATATAATTTTTAAAATGGCACATTCTCTAGTTTCTGTACATATATAACTTCACAAATAATTGGTTTGAAAGAAATAGAAGCCACAAGTTCTTACCTTTTTGTAGCCGCCGACTCACATGTTGTCCTATACGTGAACTTCTTAGCACCAAACAAAACCGATGACGTAATACGCAGAAAATCGAGGGTTTTCCCCTGCTACATGCAGACGTACACGTAGACGTTCCATTGCTTAACCTCTCTATTTTGAACATTGTGCCTTTTTTATATGAAAATTTATGATGTGCATTCAAGCTCCAAATTTTGTGGTCCATCATAATAATTAAACACAAAAGTACAGATACAAAACAGTCACAAATAAAATCAATACAAAAATATTTACAAAGGTCAGTCCCTATAAATTATGGAATTACTCGTGGAATGAAACAAGTTCTGAAAGATCACTGGATCGTCTGCTTTGCATTCAATTATCGTCTTTGGTCATTTGAATTAGTTTCGTTTTTATATCAGATGAAATATGTTCATCACACTCAAGTTCCGCTTGGACGATCAGCAAAAGTGTTAATTACCGGTCACCATAGATATATCATTTTAATTGTTATACAAGTGTTACACAGCTTTAAACACTTATGAAAATGATTTGGTTACATAGAAAAAACTTCCGATTTGAATTTTTATCTTTATGTCTGCATTTTTCGAAATTTCGTACTTTCTGCCTTCGAGAAATCGGGTTTATACATTAATCTTCCATCGATGGGACTATAGAATTTATTCGACTTAACCGAGAATTTAAATCAACCGAGTTCCACTCACCAGAGGTTTAAATACAGTGCTTGAACTGGAATTGTGCCGACACCCAGCAATTACTTCGACTCATCTGAGTTTTCGAAACCACCGAGTTCGACATAACGAGGTTCGACTGTATTTCTTTTTTTATTTTGCATATCTTATTAGGTATTGGAAAGGAAATAAAAATCTGTACTGTACTTGATATATATGCTTAAGATCACACTAAGCGACAATGCGACAAGTCATTAAACTGAGTAATTGAAGGATTTGTCATTAGCCAGTGCCATCATGAAATATAGTAACGATTAAGACAAAACTTAATATTTTCAGACACAGGAATGCAAAATAAATGCAATCATATAGGCATATGATATAATTAGCATGTTGCAGAGTATAATAAAAACGCAGGATTAAACAAAAGTGTCCATAGGATGTTTTCAAATAGACAACATTTCCAAATAATATTGATCATCATAGAAGAAGATATGAAAAAAAAATCGACCTTTGATTAATCTTCAGAATACCAATTGTACAATTTTTAGATACACTTCTTTATATTTGGCTCTGTATTTTATACAATTTTTGCATATATCATTTTTATCAAAAAATTGCACAATTTAGAAAAGTAAACGTATTGGATTTCAATGAACGTAATCTATGTATTACTGGTAATTTATGAAGTCAGGGATTTCGTTACAACAATTTACTTAAAACATTTATTAAATTCTTTCATAGATTAGGATTGGAAGTTTGGCTGAACCAGTAGAAAACTTAGTTTCAACAGTATAAAAGCACATACTAATTGTTAACGGATATTGTTTACCGGGAGAGGAAATTTAGATACGATCTGGTTAACATATCGGTCCTTTAAATAAACTTATTCTAGAAGGTTACCAATTCAACTATATACTTAAAACTTTGAATATTGTTTTATTGGTATAAATATTGGTCTTTACCATGTTAACGGTAAGTGTTTTGATCATTATCGAAGGCCGTACAGTGAATTTTAGTTGTTAACTTCTATGTCATTTGGTCTCTGGTGGAGAGTTGTCTCCTTGTCAAAGAGGGGGCAAAAGATACTAGAGGGACATTCAAACTCATATTTCGAAAATAAACAGACAACGCCATGGCTAAAAAAGAAAAAGACCAATAGACAAACAATAGTACACAAAACACAACATAGAAAACTAAAGAAGGAGCAACACGAACCCAACCAAATATCATACCACATTTTCATACTCATATAGCATTCAATTTTAAAATATTATACATGTGCACATAATGATTTTCTATAATAACTTCCATCATGACTTTTGAAATTGCTCCCATTTTTTATAAAAACAATGAAAATCGACTGAAATATTAAAAAAACTGAAAACTCCTATACACAATGATAAACTTCCAACTGCTACACAATTTTATGTAATTGACAGCTACTTTATCTCAATTATGAATAACTTGATAAAGAGGTTTTATTTCAGGGCACTGTGTATCTTACAATATTATAAAAATGAGAAATTTGGTTCAATAGTTTTTAAATTTTTAAAATTCCTATTTTGATTATAAAGAAACAAATCACTTTTTTTTAAGATTTTCAGCTGATTCATAAGAAAATCGAAGAACTGGCACGTACACAAGACGAAGTTGTTCCTAAAAACATTCTTGGTAAGCTTATTTCATTCAGGTAGTGTTACATTACAAGTGCATTTACAGATCAGATTTCTGTATTCAAAAATAGAAATATTACAAAGACAAATACAATAGGTCAAGAACCAGTCTGCCAAAAGTTCAAAAATGTTGTGATGGAGATTATCAAAGATAACCTCAATACATTATCCATTTTTATGACGAAATCGGTAGGTTATAACAAAAGACAACCACTGACGACATTTGTAACATGCGACAGTCATAATATAAATAGTTTCAAGTTTAAACTAGTTTCATAAAAAAACATTTCCCTCCCCCTTTTAATTTTGATTAGTGTAAAAAGTAAACAAAAGAACGTACAATTAAAAAAGAATTCAGGAAAACACTAACAAAACATCAGACGGAATGAAGAATCTCGACCAGCACTTAATCGTTTTATAAGTGTCTGAACCATACTTAACCGAGTGTATTCTCGACCAAGTCTGAACCTTACTCGACCTAGTCTGAACCATATTTGACCTCGTCAGAACCAACTTAGACCTATTTCTGTATCTATCTATTGTATTTCATTCCTTTAGGAACTATTTTATCAACGGTTATTTTCCTTGGCTAGAAATTAAGACAATAACTTGAAATTCAAAATGTATTTAATATAGCTTTGAAACCAAACTTTCACAATAAATATAACATAATATAATTGTTCTAACATGTTCATCCTTCACGGGACTTTTCAAGATATGTAACACCACGGGGGTAGTATGAAGTTACGTAATTGCTTTGAATGTCTTAATAAAAAGTAAAATAACAAAAATACCGAACTTCGAGGAAAATTATAAACGGAAAGTCCCTATGCAGAGGGCAAAATCAAAAGCTCAAACACATCAAACGAATGCATAACAACTGTCATTTTCCTGACTTGGTAAGGGCATTTTCTTATGTAGACAATGGTGGATTAAACCTGGTTTTATAGCTAGTTAAACCTCTCACTTGTATGACAGTCGCATAAAATTCCATTATATTGACAACGATGTGTGATTAAAACAAACAGCGCATCTCAAGTTCTTTTCTGTATTCCTTATCATCGCGACGACATCTGTAGAATATATATATATATTACGGATTACAAATATGTCGAGTTTTGTGATTGGATAACAACACAGAAATGTCAGTATATAGTCAGGAACTTGCCGGGGTATATACGACGTTTTTTTTTTATCTCAATTGGAACCGCAACAACGTCATCACAACGAACGTTACTATGTGACTTGTCTTTAGACTATATACCGAATTTGTAATAACATAAGCAACACAACGGGTGCCACATGTGGAGCAGGATCTGCTTACCCTTACGGAGCACCTGAGATCACCCCCAGTTTATGGTGGGTTTCGTGTTGCTTAGTCTTTAGTTTTCTATGTTGTGTCATCTGTACTATTATTTGTCTGTTTGTCTTTTTATTTTTGGCTATGGCGTTGTCAGTTTGTTTTCGATCTATGAGTTTGACTGCCCCTCTGGTATCTTAATAAGGTTTTATTATCCTTAAAACAGGTATATTTTTCAGATAAAAGAAATCAATTTTTACCTAGACTGAGACTTTAAAATTAGATAATTTGACTATCTCTATTTGATAAATCTGATAATCATGTAAGGATGTATATTGTTGCTGTTGTCGTGTCAGTTTAAAAGTTAAAACTAATAAGTTGATAGGTTGTTTGGTCAAGTATGGTTCAGACTGGTCGAGTACTGTTCAGACTTTGGTCGAGTTTAGTTCAGACCTTTGGTCGAGTATGGTGCAGACTGAAAAATAGGTCGAGAACTGGTCGAGTATTGGTCAAGTACAGGTCTTGGAATGGATAAAGACCGTTTCTGACAGGTCGAGTAATAGTTCAGACTTTTGTCAATGACAAAGATAAGGTCAAGTACAAATCAGTACAGTCGAGTATAGTTAACATTCGGGTCTAGTAATATTGGGTAAAATTTAGAACAATTCAGACTGGTCGAGTAAAAATCTGTAGTCGAGAAAAGATATAGGACATTTTAGACTTTTGCTGGTTTGTAGTGTATAAAAGAAAATCCTTAGTATTTCGAAAAATTCAAAGTTTTAAAAAAACAGTTAATTTCTAATTATGACCATATCAAAGATTATTCAAGTCAACACAGAAGTATTGACTACTGGGTTTGGTTCTACCTTCAGAGAGGAAACCTCCAGCAGCAGTGGCATCTACCCAGTGCTTGTAAATAAATCATCATAGATACCAGGATTAACATTTTGTACGCAGGACGTTCGGTCCGTCTACAAAAGGACTCACTAATGACGCTCGAATAAAAAAAGTGAAGCCAAATGAAGTCAGAAGTTGAAGAGCAACGTGGAACCTTAATTCCGAAAGTTTCCCTCAAATAAAGATAAGGTAATCTACTCCTTATGAAGAAAATCCTTAGTATTTCGAAAAATTTCAAGTTTTAAAAACAGTTAATTAAAAATGTTGTCCTTATCAATGATAATTCATGACAACACAGAAACGCTGACTACTGTGCTGGTGATTCCCTCATTGAGACCGTAAAGTTTGATGATTACATTGCCACCTTAAAAAGGGTCTGTTTGGTATATTCCTTTATCAAATGCATTACACCATACTTCAAGCAACCAAAAATAAAGGTACAACACTTTTAATTTTTGTTTATATATCAAAATCTTAGTTTTGGCTTTCAAACTTTTTTCATCTGAGCGTCACTGGTTGGTCTTGTGTGGACGAGACGCACGTCTGGCGTATTGAATTTTAAGCCTAGTACCTTTTGTTAGCTATTATTCGTGTGTTTCTTTGTCCTATATGTTCTCCCATTTATTTCTATTGTGGTCCTGTCATGTGATGTTGTCGTTTTGGTGTTGTGTTTGACGTTGCGATAAAAGCGGGAGGTTTGGCATGCCACAAAACAAGGTTCAACCCACCATTTTTTTCTTAAAATGTTCTGTACCAAGTCAGGAAAATGGCCATTGTTATATTATAGTTCGTTTCTGTGTGTGTTACATTTTAATGTTTTGTTTTTGTTGTGTCGTTGTATTATATTTGATGCGTTTCCCTCAGTTTTAGTTTGTAACCCGGATTTGTTTTTATCTCTATCGATTTATGAGTTTCGAACAGCGGTATACTACTGTTGCCTTTATTTAGAAATCCCTTCTACATAAAGCAGCAACTTTTTTTTCTGTGTACCATTGAGTCTAGACCTCTGTTGGTTGAATGTTAGTCCCAGTAGCCAGTACTAATATACTGTCATGAAAATACGGATATTGTTTTATTTAAAGTGGTCCTATTTGGTCCTATATGCTCTTCAACGTTTTTGATTTTGGACTTCCACATATGTTGATCTGGAGCACCACTGTAGAAACATTAATTGTGGTTTTCCTTTTGATACTGTTACAGATGAACATATTAAGGGCATTATCAACAGATTAACGAGACAAAAATAATTTTTTTGCACATGCCAACCCTCTAGATATATTAATTTTAAATATACAAGAGAAATACTTTAGAGCATCTTCTATATTTTCTCTGATTGCAAAACTGACAGTAATTAAATATCTTATACTACAACACCTAAATTGTTTTTTTTTTTTGCATAACAAAGCTTTTGGCGACACATTCGTGGTGTCTTTGTTGTATAATCCATTTTTTAAGAATTGTCAACATAATTGGCACCTACGCCGATGAACCATTATTTTGTAGAAAGTTTCAAATTTGTGAAAATAAATGGTCTTCTAATTTTAAAGAAATGCTGCAAAAATCAGATAACTCATCTTATATTGAGAGTGTCTGTGCTAATTCAGTACAAAGACAAATAGTTACAATATTACTTTGAGATATTTTTTCAATCAAACTGACAATGATTTGAAAAAAAATATACTTTGATGTTCAGTACAATTGGTCTTATATTTTTTCAGAGCAGTTTGAAAAACGCTTGAAACAGTGGTCTGAGGATGACCAAAAGTTTGTTAATACAGAGGCAGAAAAAAAAGTAATGGAAACTATCATGACAAAAAGTTGTATAACAATCATTGGAAATTCGGGCACTAGAAAAAGTTTCCTTTCAAGACATATTGCCCTGAAGATGATGGAACAAGGCTATATCATAATACCATGTAGTATTCCTGACGATGTAAGACAATGGTTTAAACATCAAAGGAACACTTTATTTGTCTTTGATGATGTTTGTGGACGGTATACCCTTAATCAACAGATCTTCAATGAGTGGATACAAAGGCTTGACCATATTAAATCTCTTCTTGAAGACAAATGTTGTAAAATTATTTCCACATGTAGACAAGAAGTTTATAAAGATGAAAAATTCAGCAGTATATCTATATTCAAAATGAATAAAATTGATTTAAGTTCTCTCGAATTCAGACTAAACAAAACTGAAAAATTAGCTTTAGCTGAAATGTACATCAATGAAAATACTGATAAGGTTATTGAATTATCAGGGACATATGATTTTTTCCCACTTTTATGTAGTTTGTATCAGAAACAGAAACTCCACAAACATGTAACCCTAGATAATTTTTTCAGCAACCCATTTGATGTTTTTAAAGATGAACTTAAAAACCTGTATATTGAAGGTGATGATGGTAAGATGAAATATTGTGGCTTAGTCCTTTGTGTAATGTTTAATAACACAATTACAGAAGAAAACCTGTCCAATAATGATAAGGAACTAGCAGCAGTGATTGAAGATTTACTTGTAGAGTGTGAACTGAATAAAGGAACATCAGTCAAACGTTTAAAGAAATCCCTTGAAACACTTGAAGGTACATATGTGGTCAAAGACGATAGTACATACAAAATTATCCATGATAAATTGTTTGATTTTCTGGCCAAGAACTTTGGAGAGAATATGTTACAGCTCTTTATTGATCATTCTGAAACTGACTTCATATGTGAAAGATTTCTATGGAAAATACCTGGTAACATAGACACATATATAGAGTTTGTTATTAAAATATCTGATAATCATATCAATAGATACATAAAAAGATTACTTAAAGACTGGGAGAACGGTTATGTAGACAATGTATTTATGAATAGAAACATGCATTCTCCTTCATTTACAGAGAAGTTCATAAACTATATAAACAAACTGGATCGATCAAAACAAGAAGAACTTGCATGTCAACAAGATATGAACAGTATAGATATAGCCCTCGGAGGGTGTTGCTATATGGGAACTGTTGACTTGGTCAAATGGTTGATATACAGAAAAAGCAATATCAATTATTGTACACATGATAGTTACTTTTCGTTATTCTGGGCAAGTCAGGAAGGACATGATGATGTTGTTAAAGAACTGTTACAACATTCAGCTGACATAAACCATTGTAAAAATAATGGGGTATCATATCTGTATATAGCAAGTGAGAATGGACATGTTAATGTTGTTAAGGAACTGCTACAGCATTCAGCAGATGTCAATATATGTAGAAATGATGGGATCCAACCACTACATATTGCTTGTTACAACAACTGGATTGAGGTTGTTAATCTTCTTCTTCAGTATGCTGATGTTGCTATTGATCACTGCGATAATGATGATCGTTCATCTATTTATTGGGCAAGTCAACAAGGTAATGTTCATGTGGTCAAAGAACTGTTACAAAAATCAGCAGCAGTAAACAAATGTAAGAATAATGGTGTGTCACCTCTGTATATAGCAAGTCAAAATGGACATGTAGATGTTGTTAAAGAACTATTGCATTATTCAGCAGATGTCAATTTATGTAACAATGATGGCATTCCACCTCTACAGATTGCTTGTTTCAACAGTATTGAGGTAGTGCATGTTCTTCTTCAGTGTGATGATGTTGATATTGATCTCTGTGATGATGCTGGATGTTCTTCACTGTTTTGCGCAAGTAAAGGTGGACATATTGATGTCGTTAAAGAACTGTTACATCATTCAGCTGATGTTAATAAATGTCACAATAATGGTGTATCACCTCTGTATATAGCAAGTCAGGAAGGACATGTTAATGTTGTTAAAGAACTGTTGCAACATTCAGCTGATGTCAATAAATGTAAGAATAATGGTATATCACCTCTGTTTATAGCAAGTCAGAATGGACATGTGAATGTTGTTAAGGAACTGTAACAATATTCAGCTGATGTCAATAAATGTAGTAATGGTGGCACCTCACCACTACAGATTGCTTGTTACAAAAACAGGATTGAGGTTGTACGTGTATTTCTTCAGTGTGATGATGTTGATATCGATCTGTGTGATGATGATGGATGTTCTTCACTTTATTGGGCAAGTCAGAAAGGACATATTTGTGTCGTTAAAGAAGTGTTAAAACGTTCAGTAGATGTAAATAAATGTACTTAATATAGTGTATCACCTCTGTGTATAGCAAGTCATAAAGGACATTTTGATGTTGTTAAAGAACTGTTACAACATTCAGCTGATGTACATAAGTGTAACAAAAATGGTGCATCACCTCTGTATATAGCAAGTGAGAAAGGACATGCTGATGTTGTGAAAGAACTGTTACAAAATTCAGCTGATGCTAATAAATGTACCAATAATGGTGAATCACCTCTGTTTATAGCAGGTCAGGAAGGACATGTTGATGTTGTGAAAGAACTGTTACAACACTCAGCTAATGTAAATAAATGTTCAAATGATGGTGTATCACCTTTGTTAATTACAGGTCAGGACGCACATATTAATTTTATTAAAGAACTTTTAAGACATTCAGCTGATGCCAATAAATGTAGTAATGATGGTACCACACCACTACAGATTGCTTGTTACAACAACAGGATAGAGGTTGTACGTGTACTTCTGCGGTGTGATGATATTGATATTGATCTCTGTGGTAACAATGGCTGTTCTTCACTTTATTGGGCAAGTCTGGAAGGACTTGTTGATGCTGTTAAAAACTTTTTACATCATTCAGGTGATGTCAATAAATGTAACAATATTGGTGTATCACCTCTTCTTATAGCAAGTAAAAATGGACATGTGGATGTTGTTAAAGAACTGTTACAACATTCAGCTGATGTAAATCAGTGTGCCAATGATGGTGCATCACCTCTGGATAAAGCAAGTCAGCAGGGATATACTGATGTTCTTAAAGAACTGTTTAAGCATTCGCCAGATGTCAACCACTGTAGTGTTGATGGTTATTCGTCTCTTTAAATAGCAAATCAGGAAGGAAATGTTGATGCTGTTAACAAAAACTGTTACAACATTCAGCTAATATCAATAAGTGTAATGGTAAATGTCAAAATCCTCTTAATGTGGCACAGGAGAATTGCCATTTTGGAATTGAATCATTACGATTCAGAAAAAGTGCAAATAAATATTAATGTGACAATCATGAATTTTCAATCACAGATACTTTCATATTATTTGTGTTTTGACAATTCTATACATTGTAATTTTTTTCTTACTGTATATTTCTTTCAAGAAGTTATAGAGATTTTTGGGAGCCTATGATTAATTAATTAACAAACCTCAAGACGTATACTTATATTTCTTTTATTCAAACTTCCATCTAAATAAAATGAAATGTTGTTTAATGCCATGTGGATTATTTTAGAAAATCAGCTAAATCACTGCATGTTTTCTATAGATATAAGAAGATGTGGTATGAGTACCAATGAGACAACTCTCCGTCCAAGTTACAATTTATAAAAGTAAACCATTATAGGTCAAAGTACGGTCTTCAATACGGAGCCGTGGCTCACACCGCACAGCAAGCTATAAAGGGCCCCAAAAATTACTAGTGTAAAACCATTCAAACTGGTCTAATCTATATAAAAAAAAAGAAACGACAAACACTTATGAAACACATCAACAAACGACAACTACTGAACATCAGATTCCTGACTTAGGACAGGTGCAAACAATTGCAGCGGGTTTGAAAGTTTCATTGGTACCAAACCTTCACCCTTATCTGAAACAATAGTGTAACATCACAACATAGAAAGACACACTATAAAATATCAATTGATATGGCTAAACTCAATCAAAAGACATATTAACACAAGTAAACATACACTGAACGAATAAATTTGATCTATGATACAATGTAAATACAGACTCAATAAATATTAATAAAATAAGGGATGAATAATTAAAGTAACAGTATTATACCGCTATGAAATGTTAAAAAATTTCAGAAAAACAACAATAACCTTAAACAAAAATCCGCCATTTACAATAATATTATACACAGGTAAATGAAAATAATTTTGTTGTTATTTTTTCTATGTATGCAATCTCAAGAAATGAGATGATTAGTTCAAAAGATAATATGTAATTATGTGTCAAAGATTGTATTTATACAAATAAATGGTAATTGCTAGTAGAAACACTTTTATAAAACGATAAATACTCAGTTATCGAACGTTACTGCTAGGAAGAGAATACCATTGTTCTCAATTGCTTCTTAAAAAAGTATAACAAAAATGCTGAACTCGAAGGCAAATTCAAAAAGAGGAAGTCCATAAAAACTGACAAAATAAAAGCTATCAATCAACGGAACAAATGAAAAACAACTTATTTTTTTTTTGTACAACATATAGTAAAAATCTGTTTGATTACTTACTTGATTGTGCAATTGAGATTCATAGTAAAATTTTAAAATTGGAAAAAAATACTTTCATCGACAACGTTATCAAAGTGAGCGTTTTTGTCCTTGCGAAATAAATAAACGTATGCATGAAAAAACTACTGGAAATCAAAGTGCTGGATAGCACCTCTAGGAAGTTTGTAACTGTAGATGTGTATTATTTCAAATAGGTTATAGATGTGTATAATTTCAAATATGTATTAAATCACAGCTTTGATGTTTTTAACTAAACCATTTTCTTTTCAGCAATATCACTTTTTTTCATATGTTTGTCATATAAAATTTTGATATTTTCTATTGCAACCTTAAACTGTAGATCTAAAATAATCAAATATACAATAAGCTCTGTTAATTTCTTTATGTGCCCATGCCATATCTAGGGCCTGTGATTTTATAGTATTTTTTCCATTTGTAACTGGGCATAACCTTAACCATAACAGTAAAATGACGGCACCAAAATTCAAACTTGGTCTTGGTTTTGTGGTTAAAAGTATTGTGTATAAGTTTCGTAACATTTGGTTGAGGCACACTAAAGTTAGATCACGGAATTGAAAAACAAATTGTAAGTGTTCCGCGGAACCTGGTGTCTCGCCTACGTTTGCTGTAAATAGCAGGCTCGACAAAAATGAGGACACAAATAATAAAAATATTCCTCTCTATACTATCATTTGATTGTAAGAAGCTTCTGTTCAAGTTTGGTAAAAATCCAGGATGGTTTATGAATCTAACAAATGTTTAAAAAATTTAACTGCAGACTGTATGTAATGTTAACTGGAAGAAAAGCTAAGTCCATTAATAAGTAAAATACGGAAAAACAAGAACAAAATTTTAACTAAATTTCATTCTAGATACTAGCTTTGATCATAAACAAGCTTCTGTCCAAGTTTGGTAAAAATCCAGGATAGTTTAAGAAAGTTATCAAAATTTTAAAAACTGTAGCCACAGAGTGAATGCAATGTTTCCTGGCAGAAAAAACTAACTCCATTTATAAGTAAAATACTGTTTTTTTTTAATTTACTTCTGGATACTATCATATGATCATAAAAAAGCTTCTGTCCAAGTTTGGTAGAAATCCAGGATAGTTTAAGAAAGTTATTAAAATTTCAAAAACTTCAACCACAGAGTGAATATTTGTGGACGCCGCGACCACCGACGACGAAATGTAGGATCGCTATGTCTCGCTTTTTCGACAAAAGTCAACGGCTCTACAAAAATCAGCAATTTTTAAATTTGTAAAGGGGCATAACTCTAGAACAGTAAAACTGACGCCACCAAAATTCAAATTTAATCAGTGTTTTGTGATAATGAGCATTGTGTACAAGATTCATAAAAGTTGGTGGAGACAAAGTAAAGTCAGAAATCGTAAACAAAAAATTCAAGCAACCTTTCCAATTGTTAAGGAGCATAACTCTAGAATTGTAAAATCGACGCCACCAAAATTCAACTTGACCAGTGTTTTGTGGAAATAAATTATCTCACAGCTTGGTCAAAATATAAAACATGTTGCATTCAGTAATGTCAGTCATACGGGATTCTTTCGATACACTCGAGCTTTATATTTAATAATAAACATTTGTAAATATCGTACGTAGTAAACATTTCGCGGGAAAATGTTCATTCACGATATATTCATGAATTAAACGATGTCTCGCGTAGATTTCTTTTGATTTTCTCTTCAGCGCATGGAAAATCCGCGAAGTAGTGTTTGTGATACTCATTTTCAAAATGAAGTTAAATTCACCTGAATTATCGGTGAACATTCATTCCTTTTTTATTCAAGCTGTAATCTTTTCAAAAGGACTCAAAATTTCAAAAGCATCTTCCTAAAATCAGTAATCAAACACTAGTACTACATTATCTTGGAGCAGAACATTTGCGATAGTCTGTCACCGGAAGTTTGAGGCCGACGCCTTAGGAAAGTATTGCTATAGCAAACTTCCCAAAAATGATAGACATACAAAAATGAATTCAAAATTCAACACATTGTAGATTGTATTTTAACACTGAGATTGCAATTTCAACATTACTTTTGATTTGTTGTGTTAGGTTGTTGTCTCATTGTTGTATACCCAATATCTTTGGTCATTTAGCTTAACATTGGAACATCGGTAAACACTGCTGTCTCCTTAAATTAGCCATCTTCTGACTCTATCTTTGAAAAAATATCTAATGTTATATAAATCATTTATGTCTTGCGCTTAATTGTAAAATGAATCATTCTTAATAAGGCCTTATTTAAGAACAAGAATGTAAAAGGGATTTTAGTCGTTAAATGATAAGTGAAGACTTTTCATTAAACTTGGAAAATATTACTGTAGAAATACTATTATTTGCATGATTTTTTATTTGAACAATTGTAATTATATTATTTCATATCGAATAGTGATATTTTTACCAATACAGAAAGTTTTATATTTTACCTATTCATAAGAATTTTTGCTACGCAAGGGAGATAACTCACTTAACTATAGTTCATGATATAGTCTACTGGAAATTAATGAATCAGAGTACTTTAACCTATTCAGCTCACCTGGCCCAACAGACCAAGTGAGCTTTTCTTATCACTTAGCGTCCTTCGTCTGTCGTCATCCGTTAACTTTTGCAAAAATCTTCTCAAGGCAAACTGCTACGTCAAATTTAATTAAACATGGTCGCAATCATCATCAGGATATCTAGTTTTAAAAATGTGTCCGTTGTCACCGCCTTCCAACTAACATGGCTGACATGGCTATAAAATAGGGGTAAAATGCAAGTTTTGTCTTTCATCCTGAAAACTGCTAGAATAGACACAATTTGTTGGGGGAGGGAGCATACAAATTCAGAATGTTTAGATCTACCTATTGTTTAAGTGTATTAAGGCTGTCAGACAACTTCTTTTCGGAGTAATTGCCCTTACTGATTAATTTCACCAATATTTTTTTTTTCATTTTTTAATATTATCGTGAAATCTATAATAGATAGAGAAAAGCTTTGAAAAGCAAAAATTATCAGCAAGACAGGATCTACTAATAAGTCAATGGCTAAAATCATCCTAGGACTACTTATTAGATTTATCGCCCTTTAATGATGATTTTTACCATTTTTTTGCGCTAAATATCTGAAAAACTTATATATTAAGCAAAAAAGCTCAGCAAGACAATACCTATAAATAAGTCAAGTTTTGCTGAAATCGTTGGTAGACCCTTTATTTGAGTGATTGCTTTTATATGACGATTTGTTTACCAATTTACAACTAAGTCAGACATCACTTGGCAATCCGACAACTTTAGTCAAGATATGTATTTAAATACAAGAAAGTAAAAATACCAAAAAAAACGAACTCCGAGAAAGATTACTATTAAATCTCAGACAGATGTAATGACAACAGATAAGCCTGATTAATAACAAACAGGTAGAAACAGTTTTCATTACACAATTATTCAGGTAATATACAGGAAACAAATGCTAAACCAAATTACAAATAATTGTTATAATCCTCCCATGTACAAAGTTAATTCCAGAATTTTAAAGTAATATACAACATCTTTTGTCACCGGGGAATAAATTATATCCCAACACTGAA